GAAAGGACCAGAATGGTCACCTCTTCCAATACTCTGCAATGTGCCAGGTTGTCATTGAGACCACCATAAAAAGTGGCTGTCCACTCTCATCTTCAGAAGATTAAGATCTCACAACTCCATAGCAATATTCATCTATTATATTCTTTATTGTTTATTGTTTGGCTTTCATTGTCTTGTTTTAGTGAAGGTAAACACTGAACAACAGAAGAGTCCATGACCATAATACATTTATTAATATTTTCCAATATGTATAATCTGTTAGATGTCAACTTGTAAAGTGTTGCCATGACTATTATCAACTTGGCATTTGAGGGAGGATTACATGCATATCTTCAGCCAGAGTTGGATCTCATATTTCTACAACCTAGTTCATGAATATGATCTATGACGTATGACAGAAGGGAGGAGATAGAGGGGTAAAGTTCAAATGCAATTAAGTGTAAATCAGTTTTGGCTCCACAGGAGTACACGTCAGAATGTTGATCCTAATAAATGAATGGGTTTCTTTTGAACTTTGTCTCAAGGCTCGTAAATTAATTAGGTCATCTTCTGGGAACTTCACAGTCACGAGATTGCCAAAAAGAAATCTGAAAAAGTAGTAGACACTGATCAATTCTCCAAATATCATCTTACACAGTGGTGGAATTCCAAATGTTTTCCTTCCGGTTATAATGTTGAAGGGGGTCAGAGGGTGGGGCCAACCAGAGGTAGTATTTACCGGTGCTCTGAACTACTCAAATTTTCTGCTACCAGTTCATTTAAACTGGTCCTAACTGGATGAATACCACCTCTGATCTTACATTGTTTCAAGTGAAAATAGTAATGTGACTTCAGAATGAAAGATGGTAATATTTGTATTATCCAGCTTCTTTCAGTATGAACTCATGCTCCAGGAAGATGTCACACAATTTGTAGAAACCAATACTTAATATTATCAGAAGCAATTGAATTCCTGGTAGCTTCAGATATGATTGTGTTCAGAACATCTCAATTATTTTCATCTTTCTGGATAGGTGGCTCCTCATTCAGTGTGCAATGAGCATTGCCAACCAGGTTATCAGAAGAAGAAGAAGGAAGGGAAGAAATTTTGTTGTTATGACTGTGCTTCTTGCCCAGAAGAAAAGATTTCAGACAAGAAAGGTAAATTATGTTGTGTAGATAGTATTCCACACAGACAGACCATCGTGTATTGGAGAATGTTATTCTGATAAAAATACAGTGTTTCCCTCAAATCAAGCTCAATCAGAAATTGTACACGGGTTCAGATGTGAATCAGATAACAAACTAGCTGGATACCCATTCTTCGCTATGAAACCATATAATCAGGCCAGCCCACAGGCTGAATGAGTCACACACTGGTGACTCCCATACAAGACAAGTGGCAGTTGGAACACAGTTCATTTCAGATGGGGAGGGGGAGTAGAACATCTAACTCCTAAGCATAGATGCATATCAATATAATACTGTATAAGAAATACTGATGACCTGTTGGTCATTTCAAAAAAATCCTTTCTTAGCAAGCACCCAGAAGCCAGGAAAAATATACATGCTGAATTTCAAGTTTGTATGCTTTAGAGTTCTGAAGATTTTGTGATGAGTGAGTGGTATTTGGCATAGACAGATGGCTGGATGGCTGGATGGCTGGATGGCTGGATGGCTGGA